TTGGAACATTGACTAGTTCAACGCTAAAAGTCGATTCAAGTTGATTTCTCGAAGGATTCCAAGTGCCATAGTTTTTCCAACTAAGCTCCAGAACGTCTCCGATTCCAGTCCTCCAGTTGAAAGTTGAATTGTTTTCGATCCCCGTCCATTTTCTGCGCATTCCAGTTGAAGTGCCCCATCAGGATCTAATAGGAAACAGTCAAACTTCCATATGATTGCCCGTTGCTGCACTCGACAAATTCGCAAACATTCAATTTTTATTTAAATTTCCCGTTAAATTTATCGAGCGAAGCGCCGCGACGCTTGACGTCGGAATTTTCCCCTCTCCGACCAGGTCCCCCTGGCAACCGTCAGAAGGGCCTTCTATCTATTTAGCCCTCCCTGTGTAGGCATGGCTTTTAAATTTGCCAGTTTTTCCATTTGATTCACTTTCAGGATTTTCTCATTGTGTTCAACGCAAACTTGTCTATCGATCTTTATTCCCAAATCCGTATAATAAAATAGTCGACTTTGGGCCAAACGGAAGAATCCAGGCAGCTTCCACAGACATACCGGGAGTCCCAGAGATTGGGCTTTTTGAATCTTCGGTTTTTCCCATTACTAGGAAAACGTTGTCTTCTTCTGCCTTCAATTTCTTCTGGCGTTCAATCATTCAAACCAGGTAATCATTCAAACCAAGCCTTCCTTTCTCAGAGTATCAATTTTTTCAAAAGTTTCTCCACCGAACAGCGTCTTTCAATGGTGTTAGTAGAGTTCCATAGGAGCATAATTGGTACAAGGGGTCGATAATCTAGAGGTGAAAAATCAGAGTGCGAACAGGTCCGATCCCGAAAAGTTATTACCTCCGATTCTGCCGGCCCCAAAATCCTTAAGCAATAAAGTTCCCGTATGGGGAGGGTTCTCCGCGTGGTATTTGCGGGGCTAACTCAAATCATACATCAACTGCGCCCCATCGGGGATTAATGATGCCAGCACGGCCGAAATTAACTTCCTGGCGGCTTACCACGGCAATCATTTTAACATATTAGCCATTTGTTAGAATAACAATATCGGTTTAGAGCTTCCAGCTTTAACTTTATTACATGGCTAACAATTGGAGGATTTACGCCGCTGAAATTGTGATTTTGCACAGCTCTATTATCGGCCCATAACCGAGAGGTTTCTGTCTGTTGTCTCTCCGTCTGGTCGTTGTTTCTCCCAGATTCTGCCCAAGCGACTGACTGGCTCGACTAATCAGTAGACTCAGTTTAAAATAGTTCCGAAAGATGTAAAGGGAGCTGAGAACCACCTGTTGGAACAGAACCAAACTTACACTGAGTCTTCCATGGAGACTATTTTATCTGTTCTTGAAGTCGGCATCCCGATATATGAGCTGAATGTTGCGGAATGAACTCTAAAGGGATGCACTGCAAGAAATGTTAAACCGCGGTTAACTTGAGAAAGTTTCCGAATGAACAACAGTTAAGCCACTTCTCGAATGGAACTCTGGTCAAAGCGAGGCTTTAGAGAAGCCTTTTGAATATATTGTGCAACATTGACGCTTGCGTTACAAATCCAAACCTGGAAGACTTTTTTGCAAGTTTTTGAAATTTATAGAAATACAAACCACCTTTCCGAACCGAACAAAGTTTACATCTGCTCTTTCGTGGAAGTTCTCTGATCGATTGCCAGATCTGGCGAGGCTATTGAGAAATGAGCAATAGAAAGAGTATGTGCAAAAAAGCAATGTCGCTTAAATTTTGGCTAGTTTTAGAAATTCACAAAAAGTGCAACTGCTGCCTTTCTGCTTAGAAAGAAAGGAATCGATTGGGCCGAAATTTTTCTAAAGATCGATTTTATGAAAAAATTAAAATCTGAAAAGATGTTTTAAACTTTACATAATTTTCGGCTCACGGACGTGAGGAGTGCATCGAACAAATTGAAACACATGCTAGAAGTTTCACTTCCGAAATAATAGACAGTTTCGGTACATTTTTAACGTATTTTGAGCGTTCACAATCTTTAACCGCCGATTTTTTCCTTTCTATCGACCCAAACGCTTTATAAATGCATATTTTTTACATTTTTAACGTCAAAAGGAATCGATTGGGCTCAGAAAACACGCATGGGAAATTTAGATTTCTAAGGGTGGGGTTCCATTTTTTGAAAAATAAAAATCTTCTCAAAATATCTTATATTTCAATTTTATTTTCAATCTAAGTTGGTTTGCATCTGCTCTTAAGCAAAGTTTTTTATTATCTCGTCGGGCTAGTGAAAAAGGAGCAATAGATGGAGACTGTGCAGAAATGACCAAATCGCTCAGACTGGCAAGTTTTCGAAATTAGTAAAAATGCAATCAGTTATCCGAACCCAAACAAGTTCACATATACTCTTCAGTGAAGGTACTTTTATCGACAACTGAAAACCGTGTTTTGGTATCTAGGCGGACTGTTGAGAAATGGGCAATAGAAGGAGACTGCGCAAAAATGCTCAATTCGCTCAAAATTCGGCAAGTTTTCGAAATTCATAAGTATGCAATCACTTTCCCTCACGCAAGGATGTTCACATCTCATCTTTAAAAAAATCTTCTTTTGTCACCTGCGTAGGACTGAATGTTCATATTTGATCGGACAGTTGAGAAATGGGCAATAGAAGGAGACTGTGCAAAAATTGCCAAATCGCTCAAAGTTTGGCAGTTTTGAGAAATTCATAAAAATGCAACCCCTTTCCC